TTTGATACTCTTTTTATATATCATTGGTCTTTTAACGATTGATGACGTCATGTAGATGAAAAAGCAGCGGCCGGCGAGTGCCAGAAGCCAATTTGCTTGCGTTTCCCAACATGTTATCAGGTCAAATTATGTTATAATTAATTTAATATTAGTATACAAATATAATCAACATTTACTTAGTTTTAAAAATAAGTATTTAAATTGTATTTTTAATGCTCATTTGTTAATGTATACAAATTATTATTTTTTTTGCGCACCTCGGAACAGATTAAAATATCGATCGATTTAAATCATTTTATGACGCAGAGATCTTTCTCTCCTCCTTCCTCCATTATATAAGTAATATAAGAAACCTGTAATTAATAATAACCATTTAGTTACTATCCATGAAAGTCTAAAAACCTCGGATGTGCGTTACGTCAAAATTATTAGATACAGCAGTTAGTGAGAAGAAGGATTACATGGTAGATATTTATGTAAAAGTTTTTAAAAGAAAGAAATAACTATTTTTTCAAAGTAGTATTCTTTTTCCTTATGAATATTTTTACATAAGAGTTATGCTTTTGTAGTTAACATTTGTGAGTTTCAGTCAATACGATTTTGAAACTAAAATTTAATTATTTCTTCTTTTTAAACTAACAAAATTTATTTTACAGCGTTACTTCGCCATAATACCAATAGATGGCGTTGATAAGTTTAAGCTATTTTCTATTACAAAAAAGAACAAATTCCAAATATAATGTTAAAATATTTTCTGGACCAGATTGGAATTTATTTAGGATATGGGTGAGACAAGTGAATATACCGGACTGGAAGGTTCGAGATTGTCTTTTTTGTCGTTATAATTGCGTCTTTCTGCGTCTGACCGAACAAACGCTCTTCCACATCCCCAAGAATATGGTACTTTGAAAAGATCGTTGATCATGAAGATTATCATCAAACTGCCTCAGTGGCCGATCGGTTACCATGTCGCACTGCCACACAAAAGTCCCAGGTTCGATTCCCGGGTCGAGATAAATATCTGTATGGCCTCCATTTATTTCTGACACAGGGTTTCCTTAGTGCGGGGCTATGTTGAGTGTGTGCGCTATTATTATTATTATTATTAAAAAAATGGTTACTATATTTCAACTTCATTGAATTAAATATTCAAATGTTTCATTCATTCAAAGGCAATCATCAACAGAAACAGAATTAGAAACAAATTACTATATGAGGAGTTATAATTATTTTCTAGATTCACAATGTTACAAAGTAATTGAAAGAGTGAAAATATATTAATTTTTGAGCACTTGTAACTTTTATATTTTTAAAGTTCATATAATAACAGGCAATTGAGAAACCACAACACTCGATCGATCATGTAAGTTTTGTAGTAGCAGTAGAGTTTTTGTGAAAGAATTCATCCATTGAAGTACTGCCACCGTCCCTATTTATGCCGCCAAGCAGTAATATGAGCATTACCTCGTTCTGATTTTGAAAGGTAAAGGTGCTGGGGAAACTACAAGCACATGGGAATTGTTAACCTGTGACGGGTGCAGTAGCAAATTTTTGCAATTTAAATCTTTGTATAGCAATAAAGCAGTTATCCGTATTTAAATCTTTGTATAGCAATAAAGCAGTTATCCGTATGCATGGCTCACACCACTTGGAGCACAACATTTTTCTAAATATAATTACTTCATAATTAAATTAAATAAAATAGAATCAAACTTCATGTCGTCGCATGCTCACAGTGCTATCTGATTAATCAGTTTGTGATCAGAATGAATCGTTTTATTATAAGAATGGCACCAATTCAATCTTTCTTTAATCGACACACTCCTGCGCATCTCTCAAGTCGATAAAACGATAAATCGCATGCAATGTCAGCTTTTATTAATATTTTATTGACGATTTTATTTTAAGAACCTTGGATGTATTCTTGTACATTCATAATAAAATGGTGTTATAGTCAAAGAGGTAGGAAGTGGAACCACTGTAAAGCTGATGTAGTTTATAATACATAGTCGTTTCTTCAGATTTATTTTTGAAAAGTGAAATCAGATCTGTGAAATGTAAATTATCTTTATATCATAGGTACGCAAATTATATTTCAAATCATTACACACTAGATACTAATCCTATTTGTCACTTAAAATTTTTAGACCCAAAACTTCTTTACTCAATCCGTCTTATGATTCATATCATCATCATCAACTTAAGAGTTATACTCTTGTCGGTGGAGCCTCTTCCAGTCATCACTCCTACAAGCCAGCTCATTGATCTACTTATACGACACGACACCGGCCTTTTCCTTTATTTGATCTATGTAACTGCCCTAGGTATTCTTATAATATACTATGATATTATAAACCAAGGCGTTGAGGTCCGGGTTATAGATCTGAAGTGGAGATGGGCAGGATATCTGCTTAGACATGGTGAAGGCAGCTGGAGTAAGGCTTTGACGGACTGGTTGCCAAGAACAGGCTGAAGTAATCCGGGTCGTTCAATGGCATTATACCCAGCAGTGGGAAATAGGTGGCTGAAAATGTTGGTGATGATGATTATATATCAAAGATAATATATAATATTCACAGAAATCTGAATAAATAGGTGATAGTAAATTTATAGCCCAAAATGTTGGTTTGTTTGAAAAAACAAATATATGCGATTTCAATCCGAACAAAAATAGTTTTTCTTTCTTAGCTTTTCAATTCACTTTGGCTTGATGACATCGACAATAAATAAAACAAAAGAGACTCGTCACGAATAATTGTGTGTAGTGGTATGTATTTATTTTATTAGTAAAACTTACACACGTCCCAAACTAAACATTGGCACCACCGCACGTAACTAACAGAACAAAGTTACACATAAATAGGTTAATGTATATAGTAATAGAAATTTCAATCGTAACGCCAGACCATTGTCCAGTCTTTGTTTTATAAAGAAACTAAAAATACAAAGAAAAGAGAGTAGTACTATACAAAGACGATACGTGACCTGCCATTTGGAATCGGTTGATTTATCAAATCTTTTCATAGACGTCCTAAAAGAGAATACATAGTTTAAGAATAGAACAAAACGATAGCTGTTACGGTTACATACAAAATAGGAATTGATGTTCTTACGATTCGTAATGGTTTTTCAAAATCACTATTCAAGCAATTAATCTTGGAGTGTGCAGCGTGTCATTAAATAAATAAGAGATAAATGCATAAGGATACAGCGTAATAAAAATGCAACTAAAAATGCATAACGCCAACTTGCCTACCTAATTTTTAGTTACGCAAGTTAGAGAAGCTACTAGAAAATGATACCAAAGTGGTCATTTTCACTAGTAAATAAATTCTTTTTAACCCACTTCTTAACCGACTTCAAAAACGGAGGAAGTTCTCATTTCGATTATATGTTTTTTTTATATGTATGTTACGCGATAACTCCGGTATTTGTGCACCGATTTTCATGATTCTTTTTTGTTGGAAGAGGGTAATTAGCATTCATTTAATTTTGAAGAAAATCATCCACCTCTAAGAGTAGCTGTTCACGCATGAAGATTCATTTTTATAAATAGCGCCTAAGTTTTATTATAAGGAGCAATTATTTTAATGGTTGATTTTGCTATTCTTTAATTCAAGGCGTTTTTCTCTCTCAATATACTTTATCTCCTGTGTCAAGTTCCGTATAATGGCGAACTAGGGGATGAATCCGAGTGTGCGCACTTTCCGGTAACCGATTTCAAAAAAACTTGGCAAATAGATGTAGTTCCACGTACCTTTGAGATCGGTTTTTTTAGTACTCTGTACTGAGATTATTTCCAATAATACTCCGAAATATTTTCATTATTTAAAAAAAAGAACGCACATTTTGTTGTTTATGGACTGTGCAACTCCTTATCAGCCTATGCCAGGAAAGTAAGCACTAAAATCCACTTCTGTCGCTACTCTAAACTATTTACATTTAAGCATCATGTAATAGTAAACCTTAGAGGATGGAAAAAAATAAATCCATAGTCTAAGTAGTAAACAGACAAAAGAAATATTTCATACAGAACTTTGCCTTTAAATTAAATTATTGAACAAAAATTTAAATCTAAGATCTGGCAGTAGGGCTTCGACGCCTTTGCATGTGCTGAAGGATGACAATTTTACTACTACTAGAAAATTATTTTTCCTTTCCATTGTTTTCCGTGAATAAGTTTCCTCGTTTTGCAGTGGCATAAATGCAAACCGTGAAGTGCCAGAAACAAAACAAAAATTGTCATACAGTTTTTTTCCATCCTCTAAGCATACAGCCTACCGAAAAAAGTTATTTGTTTACGGTTTTAGTTCTTATCGCGTTTAGTTATGGTGTAATGAAACGAATAGATAGAGAGGGATAGAGAGAGAGAATACCCGTGAAGAATACTCTTAGAGGATGGAAAAAAATAAAAAAAAGAATACCTTCGCCAACATAGATTTAGTATATACCAAAATCTATGTTCGCCACATACACAAAAAAAATTACCTAACCTAACTTTTTTTTTTCTTATTCTTTGGCACTATAGCGTCCAGCCTTGGCCATATAACCTAACATATTTTGAAATATTACTTTTAACGTCACCTCTTTTTACATTTGTTTTTTGCTTTTTCTATTAAACGTCTCCTCCATAGTTCTTTATTATTTCCTAGCGTTGTTGTTTAATACACCTCGGCGCTGTTGTTAATACACACTTTATACACCTCGGCGGTAACGTGAATTGCCTCATGGGACCACGGCTTTTTAGCTCGTACTCGACTAGCAATCCTTAACTTCCCACCCGCTATAATAATGTACCTATATACATTTTCGGTTTAGATCATCTGTTGTGTAATCAATCTGATAGTCACCAAAAAGATTTTAAATCTAAATGCTGGCCATTTAAACATAATATATACGTTCTCTTTGATAGCCGTGTTAATAACTCTAAACGTCTTCAATGACAAATAAATTTTTGTATAAAGCCAATTTTTCTAATGATAAATTTTGGTTTATTTCAGATTTTGAACTAAAGATGAGTTACTTGGAGAAGATTGATCGGTACTTGGACTCGCTAAAAGTTGGAAAAAGTAAGTATCATTAATTAGTATTGTAACTAATAAATAAATCGCAACAGTGAAAATATTTCTAGCAAATAACTGTTAAAAAGCGGATACTTTCTTACTTATCATATCGATGGCATAGACTTCCAGCCCAGAACTATGAGACATGTTTACCATCGTGGCGAAAGGATTTGCCAAGGCAAAGAAAAGACAGAAAACGGATACGACAAGGCCTATGTCGAGCAGAGTAACTGCAAGATGCTGATGATGAATTAGTTAAGGCCGCTCTAGATAATTGTACCTAGCTATACTTACCATAAAGTCTGGGGACTATTTAGAAAGAAAAAAAAAATATTCGGCGCCGGTTTGAGACTCTTTACGGTGGCTCTTTACGGTGTTGAACGTAAAACTTTATGTTATTCTTGTTTACTTCATTAGGTAAGTATAGGTTACGTAGGTTTCATCCATTGTATCCAATTACAAGAGTAGGTATTATGTGAAATACAAATGGCTGTCATTTGTAATTTTAATATGATATCATCCAATATTACATTCAGCGTTAATAAGGGTAGTGTTTCCCTTAGACTCTGATAGCACCCTCAGCCCCGAATAGCATCATTGTTTATTCGTTTAATTTTACGCAAACTGCCTATAAGAATACGTATAGTAAGTAGTACGGCGTATTAAAGACTTCTTTAGGCGAAATTGCTAATATATTTTTGTCAGGCGTTACCAACTTATTCTACGCTCATTTCGAAGCAAATTATCTATTATCATTATTTTAAATTGTCGCATTGATTAATTTTACCATAAACGTGCTGGTACTAGGCATGGGGCCATTTTGATCGGAGCAATTAGGCCAGTGCCCAATAACCTAGCTCAATATTGGGCGGAAAATTCGCACGAGAAAATCCTTTAACAAAATGATGAAGTGATATGATGACATCGTCGGTTTGAGTATTCAATAATTGTTTTTTTACAGGCGCTATGGTGGACTCCTGGTTCATGATGTCGAGTCCAGTACCTATAATGTCAGTAGTAGCATCCTACTTCCTGCTCATCCGGATTGGCCCTCGTATAATGAAAAACCGACCTCCAATGCAGATGAACAAGCTACTTGCTTATTATAACGCCTTCCAGGTTTTACTCGCTGCCATGATTTGCATTAAGGTACGTTTAACATTTATCCTATGTTCAGCATACCGCTCGTGCGAGAACGTATAAATAATTCTAGCGGTTGAGCAATTTCGTTTTATCAGACCGGGACCGCTTCGATAATTAGTACGTATAGTCTGTATTTTTTGACGATAGAGTAAAATTATGTTTGCAGGGTTGCCAGTTTTCATAAAATTTTAAATAGTCATGTAGTAGTTGTCGACAGTTTATTGATAGATTGTGAACGTACGTAAAAATTGCTGCATTGTAAATGTTACGACGTTCTAATGATTATTAGTTGCGTTATTGTATTCTTTATTCTTATTTTCACAGTTGGTATTAGTATCAAAATCGATTGTTAGTCATACACATTTTGACACCGACAGCGGATTTGATTGCGTATATTAAATTAAAATGAAAAACTTTAAATTATGTCTCCTGTTTGAATTTTTAATACATATACTTCAAAATTTAGTGTATATATGAATGAATTTTCAAAAATCAATAATTCAAATGTGCCTGTGCCCAGCGTTGGACGTACATATAACGGGCCGATGATCAATGAAATGAAACAATTTCGCCTATTTATTTCATAAGCGTAACCAACGTTCTGACGATAGTCGATATAATATTTACTGCAATCACTAGCTGCTTGCAAGCTGGCAACACTTTTGCGTAATGAACTGTCATTTTACGCCATCTTCAAAAAAGACGGACTATAGTGAATAAGGCGGTGTATACTTGGGAGATAACAGATCGTGAGCTGATTAAGTAGCAAATCGTTAATATGCTGGACAAAGAAATCCGACATTGGCACTTACAGCAACAATAAGCCAATTTTAGCAATTTAGTAGCAGTAGAGCGCTTGTGAAAGGGTCCATCAAGGGAAGTACCGCCACTTTGCTTACCTGCCGCTGAACAGTAATGTGAGCATTACTATGTTTCGGTTTAGAAGAGTAAGGGTGCTGGTGAAATTATAAGCTAATGGGACTTTTCAACTTATGTCTCTGCATATCACAAAGGAGTCCCTGCACTTAGTATCACAAAAATATGCTGGATTAAATCATGGGAACCAGGATATGGATTAAAATGTACCACTTGTAAAACAAAACACCGACAAAAGCAATAGTTGCCGTGGAGCGAGAAGGCATCATTATTTTTATGGTGTCATTTATTATTCAAAACGTAATTTTTCCGCTCTCTTTTCTATATAGTAGTAGCTCCCATTTCTAAATAGTGATAGGAAATTTTCCAAATTTGGACCAAAACATTTTGCGTTTAGTTCCAACCCTAATATTATTATCGTAAAGTAAAAAAGACTTAACACAACATTTAATTTATTTTCAGGTACTAAAATTGAGCAACATGTTCAGGGATGGCATATTCTATGCAGGGTGTCGATATCCGTCACATACTCTAAATCCGATGGTAAATATGAAATATCGTTTTCTGGTGAACGGTGGCATCCTAGCCTTTTCACACCCATATCAGATAGAGCTAATTTTTATTTGTTTAT